GCGTGTCGTGTGACACTGAATATTTTCAGCGCTTTCAATATCCAATACGTACAGCTAGAATTTAATCCACAAACTCGAATGTTGGAAGACACGATACTAATTTTCAACCAAAGGGGCTGGCTTTACACATTTAAACCGTCTGCGATGGCACATTGAGATCACACGTTGCTTCTGCACAACCACTTAAACCGGGAGTCCAGTCGGAAGGTTAGGGATGGTCCGGAAGAACTTAGACCCTTTGGGATAGATACCTGGCAAGGAAAAACCAGCATTCCCGTCCTACAGGTCGGTGCCGGAACTCCCGTTTCAGTGGGAATGAATAATGTCATCTGTATAACATCCACTTCACTTAATACCGTAGGTGCAGTAACAAAGTAATAAAAATAATATAATAATAATAATAATAATAATAATAATAATAATAATAATAATAATAATAATAATAATAATTGGCGGACGAGAACAAATACTCGCTTGTCTAAATCCGCCTAGAATCCGTGTCACACGCTCGGTTCTTTGCCCAGAACTAGTACATCGATTTTCTTCATCCTTTTATTCTCTGAATTTTTCAAACATGAATCCGCTGAAAAAAAATTAAAGCAAAGCATCGTCGTCCTCCGACGACTCCAGCTTGCCGGCCCACGCCCCGCCGCGCCCCGTGGTTCCGGTGCGGTGCCCCCCCCCCTTCACCTGGTCAATTCCTCGCCGGTCGCGTCGTTTTCCGCGTCAGCCACTGCGGTCCCGAAGCGGGTCACCGCCGTCAGCTGCCGGATGTGGACCCGAGAGCCCCTCCCCGGGCCTGCGCGCCGCGTCGTTATTTCGGGATCTTCGAGAATCCAAGGACCGAGTTGGTCGCGGCCTGCGATCATTTGTCTGTCCGGAAGACTTCTAAATGGGATGCGCCGGGGCAACTCATGTGGACGCTTGAAGCTTAAGGCTCATTTTCACCTCGTTTCCACAGGAATCTTAGGTCGTATGCATCTATTAAAGGTTTGGAGAATGTAGCTGCTATATTCCGTTTCTTTTATGGAGCATTATTTATTTTAAAGAGTAAAAAGCGAAAAAAATCAAAACATGAAACGTGATAATAACTGAGAAATTTGTATTTCTATATTTCATAATCAAATTTCTTGTTTTTATATTGATCACAAGATTATCGCTGGGAAGGGTTTGGTTTGTCGTTACAGGATGACGCATCCTGATTTACGTGTAAAATGCACTTTTCTGAACTGTTTGCAACTCTCTTTCTCAGAATGGTAAGTCCAAAACGCAAAAATGTTATGTAAATTGTTTTATGCTAACAAATTCTATGTAACATGTTAATGAATTATATGAAACCAAAATAAATTTCTGTCCATTAACAAACAAACCTTAATTTATTCCCGTTCCAAGCAAAATGAGCATTTTTGTCTCAAATACACAGCTTCTAATTACAGAAAATCAGAACAATCAGGTATCATAAATTTGGGTAAATTATACATTCATCATTTAACGTGATACCTCGAAACTGGTTCAGCATTTATTCCAATAACAACTGCTTCACATGAAATGCAAATTCATTTACGAGAAACGCAGAAATCTGGTGTGAAGTGTTCCGTGGCTCCTCTCTACCCAAAAGGAGCAGAATGGTACGAAACTGGGCTTCCTTCTCTGCACATCAATCACTCTCATAATTGAGCAATATGGCATTTCGGAGGCACTCGGGTCCGCAAACACTGAACACTGCCAAGTCAGCCCCGGAAATTAGTTTCAGCTCGTCCGAGCTGCGAAAATGGGAGTGAAAGTCCTCCAGCAATCTCGTGTATCACATGACTACATTGTGTGGAGAGAAGGGATCTGTTGGTGCAATAGCTGCTGAAGGAAAAGCAAGAATCTGTTGACATGTGTTCAGAAAAGGGGAAAAAGAGCATACAAATGGGTGGAGATTAAACAAAGTAACAAAAATAATGAGGGTGTTTAAAAGATTGTAAATACGACTGTGCTTTTGTTTAAGACAGGAAAGCCAATCATGGGTGGGAAATAAAAATGGAAAACGTTAAAAAATATATGAAAATGAAGTTATACAAAATCTCTACACAGCGCATCAATAAAATGTATAATGTATATAAGTAACTAATGATTTAAAAAATGTGTTATTTTATAGTTGTTTCGATACAAGATCATATAGAAAGAAGAAAGTCTCGCCACGTAAAATAAGACAAATTCAATTCAAAAAAAGAAAGGGTGCTACAGAAAGTTCTGAAAACAAATACAGAAATGAAACCCTGCACTTTAAATAAAAACATAGCTCTGAATAACAAGAAAATTCGAATAAATTAATGATAAATTGTAGATACTCAGAGAATACAAACTAAACTACATATCAAATAAACCATTGAAGGCAAAAGTCATTTCAAAAGAATTTCTCCTATTCCAAACTTAGTCCAAAGTGATCAAATATATTTTACGAGTATTTGATTTTTAATTACATCAAATTTAATGCCAAAAAACTTAAGAAAAACAGAAAAAATCAAAATAAGGAGTACATAGTTCAAACATCAAATATACGATACGTAAGACTATAAAGGAAACTCATTAAAAGTGCTCTTCTTTCATTCAAAATTTGGCAGATTTGAGGATGTCGCACACTTTTTATAGACATTGGAAGGATCGTTCCGCGAATACTTCAGCAAATGGCTAGTTTTTGGTCACTAAGTTGTTGAGTATTGTGGTCATTTGGATCTAATCGTTCCGCTTGGGACTAACAATGTCTAATAAAAAGAGGAATCTGTGATTGAGGAACGAGATATTAAGGAAAACAACTTTTTTATTAAGCGATATCACGAGCGGGCAGCAGCGAAGGCAATGGCCGAGGAAACCAGACGTCGTGGGAGAGACCGGAAACTGATCCCAACGGCGTCTGATGGAGCTTCTGCGAGACGCGTGGTATATGGAAATATGGTGATGACACACGTTGGTTCGAAATGCATCATTAGGCGGGCATAACAGGAAATAAAATATGAAAGCAAAACAATACGTTAGGATAACAATATAGAATGTGCAAAATAAACGGAAATTTTGTGATAAATTTGTTGCTTATCTCCACGTGGGAGTCATCTTAAATGCTTGTCTTCACTGAATCAACCGAGCGTTGATACGAATGGTTAATAGAAGTCTTTAAAAACGTTAACGAATAAATGCATTCATCCAGCATTGTTCTACTTGTATAGAGGCTTGATGTGCATTTTGTGCACCTCATGTTAAATGCAAAAAGCGGTTGGTGAAAATAGCTTTATGAAAACAAACCAACTAATAATTGCACTTTTGAAATACGTTTATTATGAAAACATTGTAAACAGAGAAAATTGAAAATAAATCCAAAAAAATTATACGAGCGATTTAAATTAGGTTAAAGTTGTTACTCATTCTTTTATAAAGCTTCCAGAAAGAAACAGTTTCCTGAAAATCTGAAGTTGTCGTCTGTGTATGCAAACTCACGATCTCCTAGTCACTAATCAAATGTTACGATAATGTACTAATTAAATACTCTTATATTTTATTTTATTGTTATTGCCTATGCTTCTGTTATTCAATTTTCCAAAATTATTTGTTGATTTGATTAATAGTGCAAATATATAGGTGGCTTGTATTGTATGCACAGTGTGGAGGGCAAATCATTTTTCACGTTTCATTATTCAGTAACATTATTATAAAAAAGTATGTAATGGGCAAACATTGCAAATTTAGCATGAAACACAAAAATATATTCATAATATTGAAATTAAATTTAAAAATTAATTTTTAATTTTTAAATTCCTGAGAACTTTTTTTTCATTTGCACTACGTATCATTGTTAGTTGACGGACTTACTTGTGATTTTTGCTAAAAAGCTATGGGTATGTCACTAATATACGAGTAATTACACCATAGTGGGAATGGTGTAAATACTCGTACGTCATTACTATTTTTTTTAGTTAGGACCAATTACGAGTGATAGTCAATTACCTAGTCGTTAATTGCTCATTACTAATTATGTTCTTCAAACAATACGCTGCGCTGACCCCTTGTGTTCGATTTCGATTCACTGTCTGTGTGCGCGCAGCACAGGAGCTTGTGAACGGGACGTCCCTTACGACATACGAGAAGAATACAGGCGGCCCCTGGCTGGGAAGGCTGCCCCCCCCCCCGCCGCAGGAGAAAGCGCCCACATGACTCCCAGCGCCTGCAGCGACAAATTGTACGCGCGTTTGAGTAGTAATTAAATGCTTGTCGCAGTCTTGGGAAATTCGGGAGAAAGAATGTTCGCTCATGTCTTACTACGATGGGAGTTGATATTTTCTCTGTGGGAACCGTTTTGCATACAAGGGAGTCCGCTTGCTGGACAGCACAATTAGAAAACTCTTCTGAGTGAAAAGTTTTTAATATTCGTTCCGTTATCAGCGAAGAGAAAACTTTTGTGAATATAGTCTTAATGCGAAATTCTAACAATGAGGACTTTTTAAGAGGTATAATTGTTACCATCGTTGTTACTTACTTTCTATGGAATGACTTTATAATATAACAATTACCATTTGGATTCAAATTATATATGTACAGAATTTATCTTCTAGTTCTGAAATAATATGGTAAGAATGCATGCAAAACATCATTGCAACGTAACTTGCATGGTATTAAAGTATAGAGATTAAAAGCGCTAAGTTAAAAGAGATCAAAAGCGCACGATCTTTATGCATTTCCAGCACAATGAATTTAAGCACTCAATCTACTACTAATAATAATATATACTCAAATTAGCTCCAACTTTCAAATTGAAGTTGAATACGTAACATCCATTGAATTAACAAGTCTTATCTACAAGTATATTGAACGATATAGAACATATTTAAAAACAACGATTGTTGTCGTTTATGTCATTTGATTAATTTTATTTAGTTTAATTTCTTTTCACGCTCTTCACACAAGATCAGACACACTCGAACCACACCAGAAGGCGAATCTTAAGCTTTGAGTGAATGACTCACCAGCAAATCTCCAGACAATCTCAGCGAAAGCGTAGGAGAAACGCTTAGGGAGTTCTGCAACGTCTGGGTCCCGTTGTTGTGGATTCATCTGGAAGATAGCAATCCGTTACTTAGCAGAGGATCACAATACAAATCCTGCAACGACATGGCTCAAAATAAAGTATCATTTCTGATTCTATTAATAATATCGGCTAAATTATTCCAAATCAAACGACATACTCCAATACAATACAAAATTGCAGAACATAACAAAAATCCAACTACACTTTATTTTCAAAGTGAGAATCTTACTTGTTTTTTGTTACAAGCAAGAACTGTTTATCTATAATATACATTATAGCACTTAAAAATTTCAAGCAAAATTCTACGAAATTTCAATCAGTGATAAATAGAACGCAAAAATTGTCATTTACTTATCGCGGCTAAGGTGCGTTTTAATGTTTACACAATTCAGGAGATAACTGCGAAAGACGACCCACAGATCCAAAAGTCGATCCACAAGTTGCAGGTCCGTACTTTTTATGTTAATCACAAAAAAATTATCTTCCCTTCATCAAAGCCAGTAAGGCGAATCTACGTAAGCAAGTAGGAAGTAGAAAACAATAAACTCTTCAGAAAAACTAACAAAATCCATACCTGAACAAACTCGTCTCTAAGAGCTGTGAATTCGAACCCCCATTTCCAACGTGGTTATATCTTCTTCTATTCGTGTAATCGTTCACATGTGCGCAACTTCAGCTATTTCTATAGAATAAGAATAGCGTTGTCGTGAAAGCATCCCCGTAAATAAATCTACGATAACTTCATTACTGAGGCGTCATCCATGCACGACCCACATAACGGCTACACGCGAAGTTATTTAAATAAAAAAAATCATTTGTTTAACTTCAAGAGTTTTGTTGAAATTATTAAGAAAGGAACTTACTAAGAACAAAAAAACATTTTATGTGCGTTTTCTGAGAACGTATTACTCATGGCCTAAGACGCTCTGCAAATGCATTCATGTAGTATCCATGCATCCTAGGATTGCAACAAGATTAATTAAATATAATGATAGTTTTATCGCATTTAATTCATAGGGACAGATCGTGCAGCAGAAAGACCAGGAAAGAGCAAGAGCAGGCAACGGCCACACGGAAGCGTAGGCTTTCGGACGCAGGGCAAAGGTCGTCGTTGGCGGCGAGAGCGCGTGGGTTCAACCCCTCCGCCTCCCCCTTCTTTCTCCTCTTTTCTCTCTTCTTCCCACATACGACGCGGCACACGACCGCTGTTGCCACAGCCTTCAAACGCTCGCCCACGCTCCGGCCCTCGACAGCGGCCAGCCGGCGGAGCCATCTCAGTCAACGGACCGGAAGACCCGGGCCTCGGGACCGTAAATTGTCTCTACAAATATTCCCTTTCACGTATTTTTGGGGGAATGTTGTGATAAAAATAACGGAAAATTTATGGTGTAATCCGAAAACCGATTGAATGGTGAATAATCGAAGAGATTGTTTCCAAAGGTACGCATTTTAATTTCTATTTCTTTTCTTATTTTATGTGTCTTTTATTTATATATTCCGAAGACACGTTTCCATCCTAATACCAAATATTGTGTCTAAAAAATTGTGTCATTCTGTAGGAAATATCAATACTCGGAAAAATTGTAATTGAATGTAGTGGGCAGTTTGGGCTCAATATTCATTTCCGGGCGTATGCTAAAGGTAGGGCCTGTAGACAAGGCTGAATGTAACTCATTGGTCCGTGAGAGACGGGGGATTCTCCAGATTGTGAGTGTGCGCACCGTTGCTTAGCGCAATTACAGCCTGGGCGTGCCTTATTGATAAATCGACACGCTGTTATTAAACATTAAAATGCATTCGACTCACGTCACGCCATTGCACGCTCTTCTCCTTCATCGAGATGGACTGCGCATAACTAAAGGCTTCTTTCAGGCCCAATAAGTAACCGCGCCTTCAGTGGACAAAGAAAATGGACAAAAGGGAAAATATACACAAGCTTTCTTTCCGTAATTACAAGCACAAGTCACGTCAGGTGGAAACTTTCCAATTTCTTACTTCGCAGAACTTCAAGACTACGCATTGTAATTAGTTTCCAAGCATTGGTTGTGAATTCTAGTGGCGATTAGGGAAAAGCCTATTAATGGTCTGATTTATCTTTTTTGAACATCAAATGTTCTATTTTTGACCGAGATGAAACGCAAATTAACTTTGTGCAATAACCAATATCGTTTCTGGGTTGATTATTCTTTTGATATCTCAATATGTAGAATATTATATTCATGGAATTCCCGATGAGATAGAACTGTTTTATCTTCAGTATTCAGCTTTTAGGTAGCAGAAATGACGGTCACTTTGTTATTTTTGGAAGTAAATTTATTGAAATATTGTATATCTACATTTTATATGAAATAATTTAGCCCATTGTTTTATTGAGGATCTTTTTTACAATCCAAAATTTTGTACATTTTATATTTAGTACCGTTCAACATTCAAATACATTCAATCAAACACATTTACAATATACAAATACATCAAATAAGGAGGCAATATAACAGAGGGATTTTTATGGACAGAAGTGAAGTAATCCATTTCGCACTTAGGTTTTATGAGAACGACGGAAATGAAAACATAATTTGATGGGATTACCTGTTTATTATGTGCATCTGCTGCGAGAGCCTAAGGTATTGAGATGGCATTTAGAGGTTTGCAGGCCGAGAGGTGCAAGGTTGGTCTTCTGATAATGGTCTAGCGACGCCATTGTGTGCACGTAAAGCTGATCACTGACAGTTTTGCAATTTTAAATTGCTCCGACCGGTTGTTTACAGCTATCATATGAGTAATTCCTCAATAGCGCCCTGAAACCTGGCCACTGGCCGTTCGCGATAATTCCTTCCCTACCCTCAATCCTGACACCACGATCAAGCAATGGATGGATCCATCATTCTCAGATGGTATATCACCCATTGATTGAAAAAAATCTGCAACACGCGCTGGCTATATAGGTAGGTCCAATTCATCCGCTGACTGGATCCGCTGACTGGAATTATAGCACCCGGCTGTTCAGATCGGTAGTTTCCCATGGTTTCTCAACAGAATACCTGGCGACTGCCGGAACGAAACAAGTGGGTCGGGCACTATCTATCCTTCCTCTTTCTTGTCTTATCCTCTCCTCTTATTTAAAACACTTACACTTACATGCACTACCACCTGTGACGGGAGATCAGTCGAGAGTTTAGAGCTTGTCCCTGCTGAAGCCGTTCGTCTCTGGGGGATACCTGATGGGGGACGTCCTCACAAGTCGACGTCTCGATCAGCGTGGAATCTCACTCACATGCAGGGAGTAACACCACCACAAAATTGCATTAAAACCATTAAAGACTCATAGAACTAACTGCCATAGCAGATAACATGTCCGGGAAGTATCACACCCCCACACAATCCAATCACTCCAACAAGCGATCAAGATCCAGAATGCAGCAATTTTCTGCTAGTCCAATGAGACACTACAATAACGTCGATGCACAAAAATGATAATTAAAAATTATAATTTTTAGCCAAGAAATATATAAGATTAGAGTGTCATATTTTACAAGAACTTGTTTTTTTTAAATACCACAAAGACGATATATGCAACAAAATATTAATTTTGACCGTGAAATTTACAGCTCGTAAACTTTTTTTTAATTTGTCATTTTTTAAATGAAAATTTTTAATTATTAATTAATAGAAATTAACGTTTTTGTAATTTCGAAAATAAATAGACACGTTAATCCATTAGGGCATTACGATGAGGGACACCCTCAGGGCATTACACCCTGAGGAAGGTCGCAGAATGGCGATCGAAACGTCGGCACCTTCGCCATGGACGCGGCGTCACCCGGACAGCCTAGTAAATACGTTAATCCACCTCACCTCCGCTGGTACAATTAATACAGGTCGGCAATCCTGTATTAATCCTGTTCTCATCCCCCGGGGGGATTGGTCGCCGCCGCATCCACGCGGGGGCTCGTGGGCGGGTGCCGTGGGCCTTGAGCTATTTTTATTGATTTCGCGCCAATAGTTGGCGCCCACGCCGCCATCGGCCCAAACGCGTCGCGGCTGTCATAAAACGAGGCAAGTGCTCTTTGCCGCGATCGATTTGGCTGGGCGTGGTGAGGACGTGCGGTCGCCGTTACGCGCCAGCCCCACGAGGTTTTAGTGCACCGCGGACGCCCCTCCCCCCCCCCCCGTGGGCGAGGGGCGGAGCGTGGCGAATAATCGGACGGGCGGTTGTTTTTTTTCTTCGTGCGTGTTTTCATTCATGTAATTCATTCATGGAGTTCTCTGTAGCTGAGGATGATGTTTGGAGAAATTTCGTGCGTGTTTTCATTCATTTAATTCATTCATGGGGTTCTCTGCAGCTGAGGATGATGTTTGGAGAAATTGTTTTATGAGAAACGAAAATACCTTCTTTGCTACGATACTGGTAAATAGCAATGTTGACACTAGTTTGCAGGAGATACCTGTGCAGGTACATGTCCACTCAGTGACCGCTAAATACCAAACAAACGCTCGAATTTCAACGGTCGTCAAAGGAAGATATACCTCGTGCGAACTGTACAAGTGGCTGAAATTTTAAGCTTTCAAACCCACGAGGTTTTAGAGCTCCGCGGACACCCCCTGGGCGTGTGGCAGAAAGTGGTCCGTTCAATTATGTGCATTTTTTTCATCGTGTGTTTCATTTACGTTATTCATTGATGGAGTTCTCTTAAGTTGAGAAAGACGGTCTGCAGAAATTGGTTTACGAGAAACTAAAACCAAAAATACCAGTTTTGCTGTTCGGTAGTAGTGAGATGTGGATATTGCCAAGTAGCATTGACGACACATCAAGTGTGAACGAGATACCTATGCAATGGGCAGCCGTTGAATATCGAACAAACGCTAGGATTTTATTGTTGCCGAGGACACGTATTTCGAGAGAACTGTGGCTGAAATGAAATTTTTGAGCTTCCAACCCAGAAGATTTTGGTGCGCGAGA